AATATTTTCTATTTTTCTACTTTAATGACAATAAAATCTAAATTATACATATGTATATGAAAATTGTTTAGATAATCGGAGGATAATAATGGGTTGTCAAATATATGTTTAATAAGAATTATAGATCTGTAGTTGTAGCAAATTCAAAAGTATTTTCTTAACTCTGATTTTTTTTTTTCGAAAATTCTAATATAAATAATATCGAGAATGCGTGGATTTGCGCTTAATAAACTTTTTTCCCTAAACATTTATCGAAAAGTAAGATATCAATTATATTTATCCCTCTCTTTTCTTTGTTATTTTTTTTTTAAAAAAAAAATGACTATGAAAGATCCAATTCCACCACTCCGTTATATGATTGCCTGTGTATCGTGAATTTAACTGCTTTGGCGCAAAGAAATATGAGTGCCGAAGTATTTGCTTCTGCATTTTACCAATATCAAAATGTACTCAGGTTTAAACAAAAGTTGTTTCATTTTGAAATTTTAATGACTGAGTGAACGAATGGATGGATGAAAGAGCGAAAAAATGATTTAGATTTCAGGTAATTTCGTAGAAAATACTAACAAATTTTATTCAATTTATGCGCGAAATCACAAAAAAATCAAATTAAAACTCGATTAATAAGTTAGTTCAGTCAACCCCAATACAATGAAGTAACCGTCCAGCACCCTAGCTTCGTTATAGTAAGATAACGAAGAATTCAGAAATTTTGATTGGTTGATTCGTTGTATCGAGGGTATTTTTGTTATACTCGGACCAAAATTCAAAATTCGTTATATCGAGACTTCGATATAATGAGGGTTGACCGATCCATTATATTTATAAATAATATACACGCGCACATAATATAATAACTATGGTTATTATTTATGGTACATATGGCATTTATAAGTTAATTATCTAAATTTTTGGTTGGGTGAAACGTTTACTAAATTGTACAACAGAAAACGGTTAAACGTTTGATTGTGCAGTTTTGAAATTTTAAAATAATAAAAATGTCTTTTAAATTTTTCAATAAATTATCTCAAGATTTTTCGGAACTTCTTAATGACCAAAAAGATTATAATGTTGTTATTGAGGTTGATAAAGGAGAAAATATGAAATCTTTTACTGCACATTCAATTGTTTTACGTTATCGTTCATCCTACTTTGATAAAGAATTAGAGAACGCTACTACGAATGAAAATCATATCAAAACTTTTATTAAACCAAATATTTCTGTTCAAATATTCAAAATTATTCTTAAGTAAGTAAAGAATTTATTTATTACTTTAAATATTAAATTAATTATATTGAGACTCAAATATTAATAAAATAGAAAATACATTTTATAGATATATCTATGGTGGAATTGTTGATATTGAAAATATGGATACCAAAACTATTTATGAAGTAATGATTAATGCGAACGAATTAGAACTTAAAGAACTATCAGTAAAATTAGAAAGTTACCTTATTGAATCTAAAGCTTCTTGGTTAAAAACTCATTTCTCCTTTGTTTATCATTCAATCTTTAATAGTAATAAATTTAAAGGTTTGAAAAAATTTTATAATGATATTATTGTAAAATTTCCAAATTTGATTTTTGAATCAGAAGATTTCACTTCACTTCAAGAAACAGCATTGATTTCTGTTTTACAAAGGGATGACTTGAAAGTTGAAGAAATTAAAATTTGGAATTACGTTATCAAATGGGGAATTGCACAAAATCCTACTTTACCTACTAATTCGGAAGAATGGTCTAAAGAAAATTTCGAGGCTTTGAAAATAACATTACAATGCTGTTTACCACTTATTCGATATTTCCATATTCCTGGTGAAGATATTTGGGAGAAAATAAAGCCTTACAAAAAAATCCTTGAAAAACAACTTTGGGATGACTTAAAACAATATTTGATGTTTCCATATAAACCTGTTAAATCACTTGTTTTGCCAGCAAGAACCTTTTCAACTCCTGAATTACCTTCAAGAGTAAATGAACCATTCTCAACCATTATCAACAACAAAGAGCATGTCGCGGAACTTTCATCATGGATTGATCGAAAATCGACTACTTATTCTTTATCAAATATACCTTATGAATTTCAATTAATTCTTCGAGGAAGTCGAGATGGTTTTCGTCCCAAAACATTTTGGGAGATGTGTCATGGACATGCTGGTACAATCGTTCTTGCAAAAGTTGTCGGAACTGATGAAATAGTTGGTGGTTATAATCCTTTAACTTGGGATAACTCGATAATAAATATTTGTATGGAGACAAATGATAGTTTCATTTTTTCATTAAAAAATGGGAGTATTCAAAATTCAACTCTCAGTCGAGTTATAGATAGTAGTGGAGCTTTATTGTATCATAATTTTAATGATCAGTTTACTTATGGTCCATGGTTTGGTTGTGGAGAATTTATGATGAAATCATATGTTTCCGATTTCACCCAAGACGAATTATGTTGTTGTGATTATGATACTTATTATGAAAAGCCTATTAGAACAACTAATGAATATTTTTCTATTGTAGATTATGAAGTATTTAAGATTGTTAAAAAATGTTAAAAATTCCAAACTGTGAGATGAAATAACATAGTATAGTTGTTCAAGTACATAATATTTCATTTAATATTTTCTATTTTTCTACTTTAATGACAATAAAATCTAAATTATACATATGTATATGAAAATTGTTTAGATAATCATAAGGATAATAATAGGTTGTCAAAATATAGATCTGTGGTTATAGCAAATTCAAAATAACGGATGAGATAATAATAAAGTATTTTTTTGACTCCGGTTTTTTTTCGAAAATTCTAATATAAATAATATTCTATTCGAGAATGCGTGGATTTGCACTTATTAAAATTTTTTTCCTAAACATCTCATCTATAGAAAAGTAAGATATCAATTCTATTTATTTCTTTCTTTCTTTGTTTTTTTTGAAAAAAATGATTATGAAAGATCCAATGTCTACTCCATTATATGATTGCCCGTCTCGTGTACTGTTCCGACGCAAAGAGATAGAGTGCCAAAGTATTTGCTAATGTCAAAATGTACACAAAAGGTTCCCGAAGTTGTTTCATTTTAAAATTTCAATGTCTGAGTAAACGAATGAACGGATGAACGAGTGAAACATAATTTAGATTTCAGGTATATCCATAGAAAAATACTACCAAATTTTATTCAATTTATGCGCGAAATCACAAAAAATCAAATCAAAACTCGCTTAATAAATAAGTATTCATTTTACTTTATTTACACATAATATTACACGCAGAAAAAGGATTTTATTTCAAAGAAAATATTATTACACAGTTGTTATTTTCTTAGTGTATTATAAGTGTTTCTATATTATTATTTCTTTATTTCGTTGTAATGCATTATTATTAGTTATTATTTTATGTAATTTTATTTCGTTAATAATAAAAATAACGAAATTTTGGGGGATGTTGAAATACTATTTGTCACAATTATATGTCACTTGAGAGAAATTTCCGCTATTTAAAATACTTAATATTTATTCCCCCCAAAAAAAATACTTACAATAATATAAATACAATAAAATAAAATGAAATAAAAATAAAATTAAAAATACAATAAATAAATATATATATTTTTTCATATTCCCATGATGGTACTAACAAACTTATCAACTTTATCAACATCCTGTCGACTCATTTCAATTATCATCAAAAGTTTTTTGATTCCAATTTTTAATTTGATTTCATCTTCTTGAAGAATTTCCAATACCCTTTTACGTTCTTCATCATTGAATAATGTTAATTCTTGTAACACGATATCGACCGCAGTTAATTCCGAAATATGAGGAACATAAATTTCCGAATTAAAACAATCCGACATATTCATTTGTTCGAGAACCGATTTTTCATTCGTGGTGGCTATGATTAAAAGTCGTCGATCCTATAATTTATTATATAAAAGAGTAAATATAATAAATATAATAAATAATAAATAAATAATAAATAAATAATAAATAAATAATAAATAAATAATAAATAATAAATAATAAATAATAAATAATAAATATTTAATTATAATAATATATGAATAATATAATGAATAATATATTTAATAATAATAATTTTAAAGACGTAAACCGTACCTTTGGTGGTTGTTTCTTAAGCAAAACCAACAAAGTTTGTAGAACGGAATTCGAAAAACGCGGACCAATAGGAACCCAATCTAAATAAATAAATAAATAAAAAAGAATTAAAAATATAAGGTAATTGTAATGTTAATAAAGTTACAATTGAGTCAATCATCATCCGAAGAATAAATTTAATAAATTCTCTACAATACCAAATAACCTTTCAACATTATCTACAACAATCACGCTCAATGGTGATTTATAAGAATCGTTAAATACCTTTAGGGGAGTGGGAATGAATTTATTTAAAAATATTTCAAAAAAAAAAAATTAGAGAATGAAAACAAGTCAAAAAAAAAATAATAATTCTCTTTTAATAAGTAGTATGGAAAACCAACTTTATGAATTGCATTCGTCTTAGAAAGTTCGGAATATCCAACCATACTTTCCGGTGAAATTAATTTGATAAATGGAAATTCGGATGATCTCGCCATTGTAGCAGCTAAAGCGGTTTTACCACTACCCGAAGGACCTGAAAATAAATAAATAAATAATATAAATATATATATATATAAAATTCAGACAAAATGAATTAATAAATTATAAATATTGATTATTGTACCATGTAAGAGAACACTAACAAGTGGTGTTCGAGAACTGTTCTTAACTTGATCAATATATAATTGTCCATCAGCTAAAATTCTCTAAAATAAAAATTTTTGGTTAATATTAATTAAATAATAATATTAACAATAATCCATTCAAAATTAAAAATTAAACAAAAAAAAAAAAAAATCAATAAAATAAAAAATTAACCTCAACGAATGGAGAGAATTTGATTATTGAATTTTGAATGCATTGTTCAAGTTCTTCATCACTAACACCAAATGCAGGTTGAACTTCTTCCAATGCATCCAAAAAATCATTTCTATTAACTTTCATATTTTCCACATCCGGTGTTACCCCGGCAAGTGTTCCCACTTTGACATGCCTATTAAAAGCAAATGAACTGGCACTTTTAACTAATCCATTAATTTCCGCTCCACTGAAATTTTTAGTTAAACTTGCAAGTTCTTCAAAATCTACATCGAAATCTAATATGTCATTTTGTCTCATCTGATTTTTTACATATTCCAGAAAATAAAATAAAATAAAATTAAAAATTATTAATAAAGTAGGTAATCAGAGATGCATGTCCGAAGCAATTATTTAATTTTTTTGAGTCACGTAAAAATTCACAATATGTTAAAAATCACATCTATATTGCAGGTTTGATGTAGAAGTAAAAATGTCCTCCGCTATGCTTCGGACAATTATTACAATAAGTTATAATAATAAATGGATTTACCTTTGATGTATGAATTTTCAGAATTTGTAATCTACCCTTTTCATCAGGTAATCCAATTTCCATATGTACTTCCAATCGTCCTTTTTTTTTTAAAAAAAAAAAAAAAGAAAAGAAAAGAAAAGTAAATTGATTAATATTAAAAAAAAATATATCCAAAATCTAAAGTTTTAGTTTCTAATCATCATCATCAACATTTACCGGGACGTAACAAAGCTTCATCAATTAAATCTAATCTATTTGTCATGCCAATTATGAGAATATTATTTAATTGTTCTACACCATCCAACTAAAAATAAATTAAATAAATAAATTGAAAAATAAATAAATTATAAATTGAAATTAATTAAAAAATAATTATAAAATAATTAAATCAATTGAAAATAATTTAAACAAAATTGAAAATAATTCAAATAATAAACCAACCTTAGCTAATAATTGATTGACCACATTATCACCAACACCTGTTCCATCACTTCTACCACCACGTTGTTTACAAATAGCATCCAATTCATCAAATATAATAATATGTAAACCGGAATCTTCCCCTTTAGCTTTATACTCTTTTTCCGCATCCGCGAATAATTTTCGAACATTTTCTTCGGATTGTCCAACATATTTATTTAAAATTTCTGGTCCATTCACTATCTTTGGTTCACGAGCATTAAGCATTTTTCCTATTTGTCTTGCCATCAATGTTTTACCAGTACCCGGAGGTCCATAAAGAAGAATACCTTTAAAATTAAAATTTAAATTTTAAAGGTGAATGATCATCAAAGGTGAATTATCATCAAAGATGATGATTTCACATTACTCAATATATTACTCAAATATATTATTCAATGTATTATTAAAAAAAAATTTTTTTGTGAAAATATTAAACTTTACCTTTAACATGTTGAATACCAAGTTTTTCAACTAAACTAGGAGGAAATATTCTTGATGCAAATGCTCGACGAAAGATAGCACTGAATTCAGTATCCAATCCACCAATTCCCATATCTTCAAATTTGAAATCTGGTTGAATAAGTGAATTCTGTGCTGCCCTAATAATAAAAAAAAAAATAGTGGATGGATATAATTTATATGATTACGTATATATATATTATAAATATTAAAAATGATAAATATATACTTTATTATTTAAATAATAATAATAATAATAATAATAATAATAATAATAACCTGGTTGGACCTTTTAATATTATTGAAGATTCAGCAGCTTTTGACCAATGAATTGCAGTTTGTTGTGTTAATATACCACGAATTCCATCACGAATACCCGCCTGACCTTTAACTTCTCCTGCTCCTACTCCGCCTTTATTTGGAACATTCGGATCAAATGTTTCATCATTTATTACTCTAGAAATAGTATCTTGATCTGCTACTTGAATACTTTTTATAATTATTTGAAGATTAACACCATGAAATTCAAGTACTACTATCTGAATAAATAAAATAAATAAATAATAATAAAAATGAATTTATAAATATATAGATAGATAGATAGATAAATAGATAGATATTTGTTCATTAGACTTTTTTTTCGAAAAAAAAAGAAGAATCAAGAAAATTTTGAAAAATCCACATACTTGTCCAACACTGAACATTTGATTATTAAATGCCTATCATAAAATATATTTGCGTAAATAAAAAATATATAAATTCCATAATTCCATAATTCAATTATAATGAATTATCATCAATGATGACAATAATAAATAATAATAAATAATAATAATAATAATAAAATTAGCAATAATAAAATAATGATAATACCTGACAATATATTTTCGACATTTCTTTAGTATCAAAATGTTCTTTTATATCCGAAACCTTTCTTAAAAATCCTACTTCTAAATCTAATTTAATCATATAAACAAATGGACTTTCAGCAAATGGATCATATGTAACAACGGAAACTTCTTGACCCAAGGAAAGTGACGCCCAACGACGATGTACCATGGAAGTACCAATTTGATGAGATGCTTGACTCTCATCCGCTCTAAAAAGTTAATAAAATAAATAAATAAATTATAATTTATATATATTTTTTCGTTATATTTAATAATAATATTATTACTATTATTACTATTATTATTATTATTATTATTACTACTACTTTATCTTACTTTATCTATTTTATATTATTACTTTCAACCTTATTAAATATTAATATTTCCTCAGAAAGGAATTTCGGAGAAATTTTTTAGAAAAATAAAAAAAAAAAATAAATTTAATAATATAACATACTTGATAGTAAATACAAAAGTTCCTTCAACAAGTACAAAACGAACATTAGGATGAAAATCTCTCGTAGATACGATTAAATAATTGGTTAAAGCAAGTTGTTCACTAGAACACTTTTGAACTTTCATTTTGACTGTTTGTTGGGAAAGAGGGGGTGCAGGTTGACGAGGTTGAGGAGACGAGTATGGTGGCTGTCGTGACCGATTATAGGGATCCATCACAAATTGTTTTTTTTAATAGATATATATATCTCTAAGTATAAAAATATTTTAAGTATATAGAATATGTTCGATTGAATTCTTTTTGGTGAGAAAAATTCAAAATTTCTTTCTTAGGAATAAGAAATAAAACCCGTTAATGTTTTAATTAGATTTGGTTATGTCGTACGAACATCTAGTTTTTTAAATATCCATTATTAGATTTTCTAAATTAAAAAATAAAAATAAAAATAAAAAATAAAAAAATATATAAACCAAATGTTATTCAACATTCTTCAAAGAAACAATTATTCTTCACGAAATTTACAAATTTTATTAAACCCAATATTTATAACTTTTTTACATAAAACACCTAAAAGACCTTTTTCAACTAAATCAATACAAGGTATAACAGAGAAAACGAGAAATTTATTATCAAACATTAGAAACAATAGAGGTAAAATTCAATATTTTGATTCGCGACTTCATAAGAATTCCAATTCTTATTTTTTTTTTTCATTTTTATATATATATTCATATATTTTTAGGTCCTGGTGCTAGTCGAATAACTAGACATTTACCCAGGATCCTTATAGAAAAACCCAATAATGTTAATAACGCCAATATTGAAAAAACTTCGATAGTCTCTCAACCTCAAGAAGTTGTTATTCTTCAAAATAATAATAATAAACCCCATGAAATATTGACATTTTCAGATTCCGCTTCACAAATTTTACGAAATTCTGCATTAATTGTGGCCAGACAAGTAGAATTATTAAACGTTTTCTTGGTAAGAATTCATTCATTCACATTCGTCAATTTTCATTTTTATTAAAATTTTTATTATTATTAAATTTATTTTATTTTGTTTTTTTTATTTTTTTTTTATTTTTTAGGGATTTGAACAAGCAAATAAATATCAAATCCTAGATGAGAATCAAATTTGTGTAGGTTACATTGCCGAAGAACAAACCTTTACCTCAACTTTATTAAGACAATTATTTCGAACTCATCGAAATTTTCGAGCGACAATATTAAATCCGAATGGTGAAATCATTTTAAAAATTCATCGACCTTTCGCTTTTATAAATTCAAGAATTTTCGTTAGTACCAATGATAATCAATTGATTGGTGAGGTTCAACAACAATGGCATCTTTGGCGTCGAAGATATAATTTATTTAATAAGTAAGTTGTTGGTATAATTCTAATTGTAATTGTAAATTGGAATTATAATTGTAATTTTAGAAGAATAATAAGTAATTATTAATGATTCATTTATTTTTTTTTTTATGTTACGTATAAAAAAAAAAAAAAAAGAAATGTCCAATTTGGAAAAATTGATGCCGGATTTTTATCATGGGATTTTCATATTAAAGACAAAAGAGGAGTTGATTTCGGAAGTGTGAATCGAAATTTTGGAGGGTTTGCCAAAGAGGTGATAATTTTTTTTTTTTTTACAAAACATACATTTATCGATCAAATTAATAAATCAATTAAAATTATATATATATATATATACTCTTTAGATTTTTACGGATATGGGACAATATGTAATTAGAATGGATCCGGAAACGAGACTTATGTCATTAGATGAACGAGCGGTTATTTTGGCAGCCGCTATATCAGTTGATTTTGATTATTTTTCAAGACATTCTAGACATGGTGGTGGAGGGTTCGTGACGTGATAACATTCATTTTTTAATATCTCTATTTTTTTTAATAATAATAACAGTAATAATATATTTAATCGTTTTTTTTTTCAGGCTTTTCCATCTTCCAATTTTAGATGATCTACAAGGAAGAAATAGTAATGTTGATGATGATGTAGATGATGAAAAAGAATTAGTAGGAGAAGAAGAAGTAGAAGAAGAAGGTTTTATTGATGATAATGATTATGATGATGATGATTATGATTTTGATTATAATGATAATGATGATTTTGATGATGATTTCGATTCATTTTATGATGATTAGTTGAAATTTGTAAAGATGATGAAGGTGATTAATAAAGAATTATATTATATAATAATATAATATAATAGTAATAATAATAATAATAATAATAATAATAATAATAATAATAATAATAATAATAATAATAGTAGTAGTAGTAGTAGTAGTAAATAGTAGTAAAATAATAATAGTAATAATAATAATAATAATAATAATAATAATAATAATAATTATAATTATAATAATTATAATTCTGTGGACAGTCAATATGATTGGTTTTTTAAATTATTTAAAAAGATCACAGTATTTACTGTATATTTCTATTCTAAAAAATTTATTCCTTCAAGGAATCTGTAGGTTATTTCTAAGTATCACATTGAAAATTCAAAACATGTATAATCAAAAAATTGGTTTTTCTATTTAAGTTGTCCATAAAATTATTCATGCAAAATATTTTCCCCTATTTGACCTATGTAAATATTCTTATTGAAAAATATATCAAAAAAATATATTAATATAAAATTGTAATAAAATTGTTATATGTATATTATTGAATTCACTTTTTAATCCAAGGGGTGACAAATATGGTTTTCACATACTAGAGGATTTATAATAAAAATTGATATTCAACAGGTGTGACACGGGTGACAAATTTTTACCCTTGCATCTAGTCATTGATATAAAATTTATGAAATTCAACCAGTAAAGTAGACCTGCATAAAACCTGCAGTGTATAAATTTATATAAATTGAAAAAATAGGTACACGAAATAATTATTGGAAAAATTAATTCAATCCATTTAATCCATTTACAGTTAGTTATCCGCAAATTTGGGTCTTGCCTATTTGAGAATATCATACTCATTAAAAAAAAATTCCTGTTTTCACACATTCTGGTGATTAAAAAAACAGCCACAAGTTGAAATTGGACAGATGTTAAGAGGCTTCAAAAAGAACCAAATCTAAGGTATGCAAATTACTTCTATTTGTAACTTTATTTTATTAATTTCACTTTGCTACTACTTTAGAGTGATCATCACACAAGTCATGATATCTTAAAAAAATTAATTATTTTAATATATAAAGAAAGAATTGGCTATGTGAATTATTAAATATTCTTGAAATTAATAAAAGTTAGAAAGATCTTTATAAATTTAGTATAAATTTATTATTACAATTATTATGCTTATTATTACTTTATGTTAATTCTACAATTGTTATGCATGTTGTTAATTATTATTTTTCAAATTGTTTCTTTTATTGATGTTAATTATGCATGTTGTTAACTCTTTTTTATAATTACAATTGTTATGCGTTTCATTAAGGTTATTAATTCTTGTTATTATATTATTATTATTATTTTTTATATTGATAATAATTGTTTGTGTTAAACCTTACTCACTCATTTGATAAATTCGATCTTTTTCGTAATGAGGAAATCTCGAGTTTCGGATTACTCAGATTATTTACAATACGATATCTTGTATTATTTTTTTGATTGGGAAACAAGGGTGTGACTATATATATATATATATGCACGATTACCGTGATTACTGTGATTACTGTGATTACTGTACAAAATAATAAAAATAATAATCAAAAAAAAGAAAATAAATGGTTGATTTAAATTGATTTTAATCGATTAAATTTGATTACAACAACAACAGCAATGCATAATTATGAAAAGGTAAATATCTTTAATAATCTGAATTTCCATTAATCTTCTATCGAGAATATAGAGAAATTCAATCGGAGTTTAGAACCGTTGAATCATTTGGTACCTTTTTTCGTCTTTTCCGTGACACAAGGTTACATTAAATGTTGTCAATAAGAGTCACATGTCAAAGATACAATATTGGTTGTATTCCCAAAACTATTTGGTGTACATTTTCATTAATCGGACTTTATTTGTTACCCCAACGCCTTCTCCTTCGTTGCCCTTCACAGTTTTTCTTTTTTTTTTTTATTTTAAAAAAAAAGGTTCTTTCGTTGCTCACCTTTTATTCTATTTCGACTTCAAATCTTGTTTTCTGATAAAGTCTTATTCCATTCATCATTCGTTTTACTCTAAAATTTCTAAAATTGTGGGTTTGTCAAATTCCTTTCTTTTTGCAATAAGTTAAATAACTAAAAAAAAAAAAAAAAAGTATATTTAAAAAAAAAATATCATAAATATCAAAAATATTAAAATTAAAAGAAAAAAGCATATTAAAAAGAATAAAAGTTTTAAATGACGAATATTTGTTTTCTTTACATCTTAATATAGTAAAATATGACTGAGATTCGCCGAAAACTTGTAATTGTTGGTGATGGTGCCTGCGGTAAAACATGTCTTTTAATTGTTTTTTCTAAGGGTACTTTCCCTGAGGTATGTTAGAAAAAATGGTTTGATTTTACAAATTTTTTTTTTTTTTTTTAAAAAAAAAGAGTATTCGTGGGTATTTCATGAGTATTCAAGAGTATTCATGGGTAATTCATAGGTTTACATACATAATGAATGTAACTTGGAGAAAACCTGTTTAAAAATTTGTTTAAAAAAAATAATCCTTACTTTTAAATTAATTCAAATTAAAAATTCAAATTAATTATTTATTAATTGAAATTAATATCTTTACGTAATAGTGAATACATCATTGCATATTTTTAGTATCATCACATATATTTATTATCACATATTTTTTTTTTTTTATAATTTAGGTCTACGTTCCCACCGTATTTGAAAATTACGTTGCTGATGTGGAAGTAGATAATAAACATGTTGAATTGGCTTTATGGGATACAGCAGGTAAAAAAATATTATTATATAATTAATTTATATTTAATAATTTATTCATTAATTAATTTCATAAATTGGAATTTCGGAAATTCTTTTTTAATTTTTTTTTAATTTTTTTTAAAAAAAAATAGGTCAAGAAGATTACGATCGTCTTAGACCACTTTCTTATCCTGACTCTCATGTTATCTTGATTTGTTTTGCGGTTGACTCTCCCGATTCGCTAGATAATGTACAAGAAAAGGTAATTTTTTTTTTGAATAATTATTTTTTTTTTTAAAAAAAAAAAACTTTATTGTTTAATTGATTTAATTATTAAATATTTATTTATTTATTTATTTAATATGTAATATAGTGGATTTCAGAAGTAATGCATTTTTGTCACGGTTTACCTATTATTTTAGTCGGTTGTAAGAAAGATTTGAGATTTGATCCCAAGACAATCGAAGAGTTACGTAAAACTTCTCAAAGACCAGTGACACCCGAAGAGGTGATTATTATTTATTTTTATTTTTATTCTAATTTTTATATATATTTTTATTTTTATTATTTAATAAATAATAACATTATTATTATTATCATCATTATTATTATTATTATTATATTATTATTATTATAATAGGGAATGGGCGTTGCTCAAAAGATCGGAGCTTTTAAATATTTGGAATGTTCAGCAAAAACAGGAGAAGGTGTTCGTGAGGTATTTGAACATGCCACACGAGCCGCTCTTTTAGCAAAGAGAAAGCATAAAAGAGAGAAATGTGTCGCTTTGTAGATATTTTTAAATAATTCTTTTTTTAATAAAAAAGGTGAATAACAAATTAAAAGGTGAAAGGAAGGGAAAAATAAAATCAAATTTGAGAAGAAAGAATCTGGGAGAATAGATCTTATATAATATTAATAAGAATAATAATGATACATGGTTAAGGAATAATTAGGGTTGTGTGGTTTATATATCTGTATCGATTATTACTGATTCTTTCTCTCTCTCTCTCTTTTTTTTATTTATCATTAATTGACTGGGCCATCTCTATAATTTTTTTCTACTTTATATATGTGTTTTAAAATCACGACATTGTTTTTTTTTTCCTTTAAAGACAAAGTCAATTGATTACAAGATATTATTATCCTCACCATTATTATTATTATCACTATTATTGTTTCTTTTTTTTTATTTTTTTTTATTTGGTCAAATATCTCCTTCTTTTGTCTTTTGCAATAGTTGGTCGCACGATTACGATTTCTTTTTTTTTTCTCATTGTGTTCTCTAAATTTTTACTCTTTATATATTCTACATTCGTCACTTATAATTATATATATATACATGAGATTGTTTTTGTATATGGGAATTTGATGATTTATTTATATCTTATTTTGTGACATTCTCTTTCAAATTTACCAAATTTACATAACGTGAATCTCATCTCTTTTCTCCCTTACACAACACAAAAAATTCCAAAAAAAAAAATCCTATATTTCAATATAAAGAAAAAAACATTAATAAAATATTTTCTTTATTTCTCACGTTTGTCTAAATCGTTGACATCTATCTTTATTTATTTATTTGATATATTATTATTACTTTTGAAAAAAAAATAATATATATATATATGTGTATTTATATATATAAATTCAAAAAATAATTTAAACAAACCAAAATAAACAAATACTTGATTTAAAAACATATACAAATATATTATATCTTTTTTTAAGATATAATTCTTAGAAATTTACATTTAATGAGAGACCTTTTCTATTTTTTTTTTTTTTTTAAAAAAAAAAAGGATTATAATAAACCAACAATATATATTTGTCAAATGGTTGACTAGTTCATGTCATATGAGTATGAGCAATTCTCGATTAAAAAAAATATTAAATATTTCTCAATATCAAATAATATTATTTATAATAATATATTTAAAAAAAATCATTAAGATTCCAAATTGAAAGAAACACCAACTCGGTGTACATTTTCACTCAATTTAGATGTTTCAAAACTACCTCCAATAGAAATCTTGACACCTGGTCGAAGCGATTGTGTATATCCCAGACCTAAACGTCCAAAATTATCGATTTTTGCCTATATAAAAAATATATATATATATATATATAAAATAAATATATAAAATAAATGTGTATATATTATATCTATATCTTAAACATGTCATAAAGATATCACGAAGACGTTACGAAGATATTTACAAAAATATGTTATAAAGATTACCTTAATAAACGTATTACGATCTAGAAAATATTTAGTACCAATTTCCATATTGACACTATTATCATTTAAAGTTGTATCCCATTTCGCTTTCGCTCCTGCTTCAATATCACCATGTACACGATGATAATATAAAAGCTCATAGGTGGCCATGGAATTAGTAGCTTTGAGAGTGATATTATATTCCGGAGCCGTGAATCCCGTGGAAACTCCATAACGAGTAACTTTTCCATCCGAAACATCATAAACCGCTTCACCACCTATAAGAAATCCTTCATGACCAATTACCACGTCCCCATGAAATTCCGGTCCCTTAAGGACATCAACGTAAAGTTTTGTATGAAAACCGGGTTGTTTAAAAATGACTCCCCCCTTAACGTTCCTACTACCCCTAGATAATGAAAGACTTGAGGTTAAATCCAATTTCAATCCTTTGGCAAGATTATTATCAAGTTCAACTTGAGCATTTAAATTATTGTATGTCGTCCAAGCTCCAGTAAACGTGAACCCTTTTTTGGGATAACTATATTTGCTCTTAAACTCTCCATTAATACCTCCTGTCTTTAATTCTTTTTGACCCAAGAGGGTAAAGGACTTGATAAACAAAACAAATGTAGATTAATATTATTATTAATTTTTTTTTTTGACTACTAATGTTATTTACATTTCTAAATAAAAAGAAGAATAAGAAGAATAATAATAATAATACTTACTACACCGTTTGGTGCAGTACTTTTGGACTCGAGCTTGATTGTTCCTATCGGATAATCCTTGCCAAGTAAATCGGAGGCAAATTTACCAATATCTGAATAACAAACAGGAACGGGAGCGGACATGATACTATAAATAAAAGATATAAAAGGTGAAAATATAATTATATTAATCTTGTTTTTCTTCTTGTTTCGGGGGGGGATGTGAACAAGAAAAAAAAAAAAGTTGAAAAAACGGAAATAAAAAATAAATAATAAAAAAAAATGTCACCGTTCTTACAAAAAGCTAATAAGTTTTTGTTGTTTTTGTTGATGATGAAAAAAAAATTATTATAATAATAATATTTCCGATATATTTATATATAGATATTTTTTTTTGACGATGACGAACGACGAGTCAAAAAGATTTGATTTTTTTAATATATCAAAATTTTTTTAAGAAAAAAAAAAATTTCATCATCAATGCGAGATGATGTATGGTGGTTGTGTTACATGAATTGAAAATCAAAAAATTATTCCGAAGACTTCCGCTTTTTTACGGTTTGACAATCCGCAAAAAAAAAAAAAAAAAAAAAAATAAGTGAAAAAAAAATGTCGGTAGAATATCATATTCTTCCTTTAAATGAAGTAGTAGAAGAAGAAGGTATTCCTCTCTCTGATTTTTCTCAAATTGTTCATGATGGTGGTGAACGGGAACATTATGAATTATCAATTCCATGGTATCTCGATGGTTGTTTGATGAGTAAAGTATGAGAGAAAATTTTTTTTTTTATTATTAATAATCTTTTTTAATTTCAATCTTATTTATTTATTTAAAAAAAAAAAAAAAACTATTTTATACGTTATTTATATTATTATTATTTAGGTTATCATTTTTATCACTATATTTTCTTGGACAATTCTTGTTTTTTTTCACATTTTTAATTTATAACCAGGTTAAAAAAAAAAAATTTTTTTTAAAAAAATTGTTTATTGTATTATCTAACTTTAATTTATATCACATGTTTTAATAATAATATTATAAATTTATAATCATAAAAAAATGAAGTTAAAAAAGTGTTAAGTTTATACATGTCATCAAAACTATTGAATTGAAAAAATTAGAGTGAAATTTTCATTTTTACATAGTAAATTGATACAATTATTAAGTCAGATGCAATTAAATTGAAAAATTGAAATTGAGTCAAAGGCTTTTAACATGTATAGTTTAGTTTAATAATATTGTATCATTGAAATTAATTAATTAATTTGTAAAGAAAGTGAGTTTCAACTTTTTATTTATGATGATAATAAAAATAAAATAAATTTCTGAATCTGATTCAATATATAAAATTAGTATATATTTAAAAAAATCAAGTTGAATTACTGGTTATAGAAAAATTTAAGTTTTAAAATATCACCACTAGTAAACTTTAGCAATTTTTCATATAAAGATTAGGTTCTGAACTGGTTCTATAACTAGCCTTACAGAACCAAGTTCAGTTTGTCTTTACTCTAGAATCAGATAGTTCAGAATATACATGTTTCCAAAATTAATTTTGGATTTTTGAGATATTTCAACTTTTTGAGATTTATGTAGAATCTATTCTATATATGGAAGTAAAAAAAGTATCCAGTTATATGTATCTTTAATCAAAGAATAAATCTGGATAATCAAAAAATTTCAGATTTTAAATAAAATAATTTTATCTTCTATGAAAAACTATTTTAACTTTTTTTCTCAAAATTGCAATTTTGGGGTTCCAAAATAATTTTATGTGCAAGTATAGTTTAGAACCATGACCAGACTAGTTCAGGACTTTTACATTTCTAGTTTGATTCTATCAATTTCCATTGTTATTATTTTTTCTTCTTCTTCTTCTTATTTAGCTTGTTTTTATATCCTTACTTATAACTGTCATACCCTATTGCCTTTTATTTTCTTCTCTATAATTCTTCTTTTATTTGTCACCACCTTCTTTATTATTCTCTTTATCCTTTTTTGATTATGATCACAGGTCAAATACAAAAAATATATTGTATCAAAAAGAAATTTCAATTTTAGTTGATTATAATACAAGATACAATAAGATAGTTGATTGTTACTGATTTTTGGCTAATTTATAATATAGGAATTACTATTTAATACAGTAATTTTTTTGAATTTGACTAGTGAATTTTTACACTTACTTCTATTTTATATCTGTTTTACCTATGTTAATTTATTTACTTCAACTCTTGTTTTAATTTTGACTTCTTTGCTATGTCTTCCTTCTTAAAATCACCCTTGTTATTATTATATTTTTTCATTTTCATCATCCTTATTTATAATTTTTATTTATTGCACCAGTTATGTACATCAGGAAATTTAATTAGGCGTCGATTTACGGAATATCACATGACCTCCGGAAATTTCCGCCTGAAAAATTTG